TAAGGGTTTTTTTTGGCTCATTATATGACGACACGATTGCTAATTTATTATTTCCTGTCATATTTTACGTAATTCTTCGCCATTAGAATATCAAAACTCAAAGGAGTGTGTATGTGATTTAATGGACCGAAACATTCCTGCCCAGATTTGTTTTTATCCGTTCCACATTACTTATAATAATTCACCCACCAATTTTTCCTTCCTTTATACTTGTCCCCGTACCGATTATCACTATTATAATGAGTGAAAATTGAAGTAAATGACTGGCCTTGTTATCCAAATTCGCACCAAATGGCTTGGCATTTTTTAATCTTTTTCGTTTTTCGGTCAATTTTTTACCGGCTCTTTTCCCTCGAGTTCTTCGCTTCTGCACTTTCAACTTATCATTCTGTAGAAGGAGGAAAAAGAAGTTTTCAAATTTTCTATCTAATATGACCAATGTTACATTCGCTAGATCACAGATATTCGCAAATACCCACTTTTATTCTCGGCATGATAAGACTCGTCAATATGACGGTTATTTTGACTGAATAAATATAAAAATGACATAAATTTGCATAGGAGAACAGGTTATGAGGGATTGAGTTTTAAAAAATAATAGAAAAGCAAGGGGCAGGGATCAACCGGATAGTTTATAATCATTTTGACAAATTGCAATCATTAATCTTATGGGGAAAAAATATCATATTTGTAAGTGAGCACAACAGCAGCTTCATAAATTCAGGTAAAGGCTGCATCATGACTCCCCCCTAGGAAGGTCGTGTAATGGCGCAAAAGCGGCCTATATAAGGCCGTCGTATTTGTATTGTAAAGTAATGTCGATCCAGTGTAGTGCTGTGGCAGTGTAGACAACTCACGAGGGACATGGACCCTGCTGCTACTCCGAGTTATCGCCAAGGAGCCGACGACCCGACTCGATACACCGGAGCACCGGGCCAGTCGAAGGAACGCCCAGTCAGTAAACCCAACATAAATGTAAATAAATAGAGTAAAAGTTCTTTATATAAATAAACACAGCACAAATTTATTGTATTCTAAGCTGGTTTTCGGAACCGTTTCTGTGCCTGTGCATAAAATCTGACAATTTTCTGCTCACATGGGCGTTTCCCAAGCTTACCTATCACCCCTCACGTGCGCTTTTGATAAAGCTCCAAAAGTCGCCGCGACAGAAATTTGGCATCTTTCAAAGTAGCAGAAGATATGTTTTGGATACTTTAACAGGTCGGTGAGGCATTACGACCCAAGAAGATCCACAGTTCTCGAACAAACAAACACTTACTCATTCGACTCGATCAAATAATTTAGTGGCCTGTGAAAAAGGAAAAAAAGCTTGCCGTATCTTCAGCACCAGCATCAATGGTACCCTCTGGAGGTTCCGGCAGTTGGAAATCCAAGTCAGATAGGCCGGATAAATCAGTCAATCCACTACATGTTGAGCCCAAATCCGTCAGTGTACTATCTCCATCATCTCCCTCACCAGTTCCACTGTCGACATCCTGAAAATCAAAAAACAGTCAGACTGCTCAAGCCTATTTTTGAGATGTTGTTACACGTACCCTAAAGCTATTTTTGATCGGACTAAGTGATGGGCGCCGGGTTTATGCTGTGTTAACTCATGCAAATGGTAATAAATGTAAAAAAAGTAATATAAATACGAGGACAGTTCTGGACTGATGATATGCACGCATAAGGCTGATAGTTTACTGTTTCCTCAGTACCACAATCAAGCTTTTAACAATTAAAAGGAACAACAAAAAAAAGTAGCCAGGGCCAAAAGAGGCTCAAACAATTAAAAATTCAAATTCATTAAAAACTGGAATAGCCAAGGCCAGGCAACCGCATGAAGAACCTTGCTGTTAGGTAGCTGAATTTCAACATCAAATATCAAGAAAAAAAAAGCTGGCTGTCACAAGTTCTTTAGAAACTGCGGGATTTGTAAGTGATATAAAATTAGATATGGTACAATATGATTTCTCGCAGTCGTTCTTAAAAATGAGTCACCAAAAAGTGATGACCTTAGTTTCGTCATCAGTTTCATTCAGTTCATCAATCCGTTCACTGGTCCCATCTATCGACGTTTGCGTTGTCGCTGCTGTTGATGCTTCCGCAATCTATGGTTGTTATTTTAATCGAAAAAAAAAGAAAAATTACAAAGTAGCATATTAATCATCTGCTACTTTTAACAAATTTTGTAAAAATTCCAAATTTTAATACATTGCTCACAAGCTGCTGATGCCATTGTGACCACACGAAAAATGTACAATTCGGTGGGCAGGGTAATTTGCCCGCCTTGCCGAAACTGATAGGCATCTCGAATTAATGTGAGAAAATAAAGGCCTCAAAAGAGATTGCACACATACAGCGAACAGGCGGTAGGTACTAACTGCAGTTATGCAGTTCACGATCGAAGGGCCTAGCATAGCTGCATCTCCAGTGTGAAAGCACTGAAGCAATACTCGCACTTATAGCTCTTTTAAATGCTGACGTGAGCTACCTGGAAATTATTTAGAAAACGAAAACGACTATTTCATAAATAAAACACTTTTCTCACTCCAACTTGTATACCGATCGAGAGGAGCATGAAGCAAGGGAATCCTAATTCGCCCATATTTTC